TGTACCACGGCCACGGTCCTACTCTGGAAATGATGATGCATACAATGGACTCCAGACAAGGTGCGTTCCTCTAAGTTTTCCTAACAATATGACCGAGTTTCGAAAACAAGGTCAAGCAACTTCTAACATAGCCTTGTTTTCCCAAAAGTTGTTCTCATCCAGAGTTGACTGCAGATTCGACCTCGCCTAGGTCTTAGCAACACCCCTAGCGGGAGTCAAACCATAATAGTGCAGCATGTGAGTATGACACGATAACCACTCAGACACATCGCCACGATTGCCCTTGGATCATTAGGACAGATGTGAATTTCAAGAGAAGCCAGGCCTTTTCGCATATTACATTCTTTGGTGGGATTGCCGATAAAGCAAACGAATTTTTGCTATAGCAATCAACGATATTACTCATTTTTCGTGTATCAATAAAGGTTCGAAACTATCAGTAAATCAGTTATATGAGATGTATTCACCATATTTCATTAGATGATTTTGAAAGTGCAGTACACCCTGGATGGGAACAACTTTGGGAAAGCAAGGCTATGTCAAATTCAATGGAAACGTCAGCTCTGCTAATATCAGTCCTTCTCATGAATTTTGCCGTCATCGTCAGCTTTGCCTATCTATGCACCAAGCCATAATCTTCAAAGATATGAAGACCAGGATGATGTGATCTTTTGTATAGTCGCGGTCTCTTTTCGTTGTATAGACGTTGTTTGACCTTGTCTTCGCAACTTGGTCATATTGGCAGGAAGACCTAGAGGAGCGCACCTTGTCCGGAATCCATAGTATGCATGATCATTTCCAGAATCGGACCATGGACGTGGTACATTCCCAGACGTTTCGCCGGCATCGTAGTCTGCATCATAGGTAAGCCTTGCCAGTCTTAGCACCACGCTACAACTCGTTAAAGAGACTAGTGAAGTCGATCCTTTGACCAAATGTGTGCTAAGGCAGTTGTGGTATCTCTCTTGTCCTGGGCTATTCACCTATCTTATATCCTCGTATCACCTCTTCAATATGGCAACTTCTTACTTGTTTATCTAGACCTATTTGAAATCTATTCACACTCTCCACTGGTTACCTCATCCCTCTCATTGTGCTGGAAATGTTGATCCAAGGCTGCGGTTTAATCTGCATTCCTCTCCCTTCGGTTCCTATCAGAGTTCCCTCTTGCCCCATAGGATCCTTGCCTTATCTGCACGTTTCAATAATTTCACCTAATCGTTGCCACCGTATCCGTGCTACTCAAGGCGTTGGTCCATACTCTGCCTTTGATAACACGTATACACCAGCCTAACTGAGCAAACCCCAAAGTCTGGCATTATCTCTAAAATGATAGGTGAACTAGTAAGAAAGTGGGGAATAAAATTATTTTCAAAGAAACTACGACACTTTATTTAGTCATTATCACGTTTAGAGAGAAATTTGTCCCATTATTCAGATAGGGTTGCTAAATAACGATGTATCCATGTTGTCACTTTATGTTGGAGAGACTTATAATGCCATTCGACAAGAGGTGCCTGAGCACAAAAGCGCCTAGAGGCTGTTGGGTTCAAAAATCAGAGCTGGCTGAGCACATGGCAGAAAATGGACACGAGATCGAATGGTCTCAAACTTCTAGTTTTGCTCATTATGGTATGTCTGTGGCTAAATGTAAAAGTAGAGAAATCGACTAAATAAACCGAATAGGGAATACATTAAATGTAAGGAATATCGACAAGAAGTTAAGTAAAAACTACTTGCGCTTAATTGATAGACTCAATGATAGAAAGTGTGCTGAGCCGCCTGCAAAAAGGAAACGACTCAAATAGTCGTTTCTTGTCTTGGTTCTAATCACCGTCGCTTCTCTATAACTTTATCCCACTTTTTATCTCTCACACGCAGATAAAAAAGCACATCAACATAATCAGACGTGTGTCCGACCTTGCGCAATTGGAGTGAGGATTGAAACATATAGACTGGGTGATGGTGATCATCAAACCTTGATGGCCGAGAATAGGCGTTCCAATTACTTTGAGGCCTCACTGCCGGTTTCGTACATATGTGAGAACATGCAGGCACATACACATACAGACCTGTTCACATGCTCTGAGGTTGACATAGAATTGGAACCAAATCATTTTATACCTCATCAAAGAGCTTAGATGTAGAGAATATATACGCCATTTTATGGATGAGCCTGTGAGTTTTTTTGACTCGTTAGCTTGAATTTGGTTGTGAGGATAAAACCCTGCTCTGATGATGTCCGTCATACGACGGACGAAAGATTCGCACGTTTTCACCGGAATCACAGGAGATTACCTCAGAAGCAGCGCCAACAAGAATGTTCCAATAAAGCCAATTGACAGCTGGTCAAGAGGAATCTACCATCGTCTTCTGGTTGGATCGACCTCCGAATCTCTTCCCCAAGGACTTTCACTCGAAATGGAAGTAGGCTCAACAATTACAATATTATCGTCAAAGTCCATCCTCTGACAAACTTTCTGCTAAACAGTTCCTTCTGTCCAGCAAAATTCACCTATCCTATATACCCGTGTGGCCTCAGTCATTATAAAAACTTTGAACTTAGTCCAAGTGTGGCTTTTGGGCGAATCTAGTGAGACCTATTCACACTCCCTACTGGTTCCTTTATCTTCCCCAGTGTTTGAAATTCTGAGCTAATTTGGCCCTTTCATTCTGGAATCTACTTTATCCAAGTCCTGTAATAATCCTCATCTTGACTTGTAAGATTCACCTAATATATCCTCCGTTTCAGTGATCTCGCTCGATTGCTGTCACCATATCTACCCTATTCGATGCGTTGTTTCCACTGATCTTCCTAACTCTTTCGATAACATGTATATTCTAGCTCCACTGAGCAGGCCCCCAAAGTCTGGATGAAAGAATAACTTAATACTGTAGTATCCCATTGTTCTATGTACAGGGTAATTCTCGTGGTCAAACTTTTACTTCATATAGCACTTTATGATCAAACCCTTGAGTAAGCAAACAATGCGACCAGGCTGCGAAAACGAGATTAAAACACCTCCAGATAACGAAAGGATGCCGCGACCATAGTTAAGGCTACTGGTTTATTGATTACTTCTGTGGCAAAGAAGGGCGACATCTATGTCCAATTTATATAATAATATCGATATCTACCTTTATTGTATGACGAAGGTAATATTTTTTTGAAATAAGTGCCAGAACAACCACTAAGTGAAAGGAAATTTCGCCTTATACTTGTTATCATAATATACTAGCTTAGAAACAGTTTGCGACTACATATTAAATTATTTATAATGGTGGCCAATTGTAGAAATGACAGGAAGCAAAAGTGAGTTGAATAAGAGTCATAATAATGGCTGGACAGATGTATTCTCGTATTAAACTGTGTGCAAATTTACTATAAATATTTGAAATAAGTGTATTTTCACTATAATAAGGGATTTGATCCCTAATAATAAATAGAGTTTGTAGTTCGGTTTTCTTTTTACTGTGAAGATGCAACATATTGCTAAAGAATATTAGGGGAATAGTATAAGGTTTTCCACCAAAATAGAAAGTGAAGAAAATAAATACCTCAATAGGATCGACGCCAGGAACAGCAAGAGTCTCTGCAGCATCCGGCAAGTTTCTGGAAGGAGCTTCTTTCTCATCATCACTGGAAGAAAGACTCAAATCCTTGTCATCGAAAAAGTCAGTCTCTGCATCTCCATTCTCGCCAGAAGAGCTAAATAGTTCCTTTTCATTATCTATTCCTTCGTCAGGTAACGAAAATCTAGAGGAAATTGGCTTAGGAATAGGCGAAAGGAGACAACTGAGCAGGTAATTTGATTCAGGTTCCGATCGACTATTGCCTTGGGAGCGCTTTTTCAGGTCTACTATTATGCCCCAGCCATAGTTTTTCGTATCTGTAGCAACCTAGTGATATGATAGATTAATACAAGATAAACAAAAGTTAGATGAATTTTTAAAGTTGCTGGAAAAGTCCGATAATAGATATATAAATGTATGCGTGTGAATTTAATTACATTTTGATATTCTAATTTTACCTGAGATGGTTCAAACAAATTACTAGTTGAAAAAAATAAAGACCATTCCATTTTAAATCGCCTTCACAAATGGTTTCAGATGCAGTATGCATGGCTTCTGCGCCATGGCTCTCATTTAGCCTCCCTCCTCCTTGTTTGTCAGCGATATACATGTGCAACAGAGAACAAATGGCAAGCGGGGTGGAGGGAGGCTAAATGAAAGTCAGAATGAAAGAAGCCCTACAAAAGGCATCTGAAACTGGTTTTAGTTAATCTAAAATAATAACCACTTGTAAGGCTCCTCCCTAACGTATATAATATCCCAGCATTGTATAGAAGAAAAAGAAAAGAAGTCACGGAAAGTTACAAGCGAGGATCTCGATGTGGAAAAAACACAAACGATGGTGAAGCGTGCTGTTGGTGTGAGGGCAGTGTTCGGTCACAGGGTAAAGACGGCATCAAGGGAGCGACGGGGCAAGGACTCCTAGTCTAGGCAGTTTCTGACTTAAAATAATGCCATGTTCTGATTGGTTCAACGAATAGACTCGATGCGGTGACCAGATTCGCCTGGTCCCTAATTGTTGAGTAAAAGTCACTACGATACTCCTCCCCCCCCGCTCAAACGATATAAAAGAACGGAATCGACTCTAGAGACAAAAATAGTCAAATGAGAGTTACATCAGGTTCCCGATGTGAAATGGATTCTTTTTCTCAGCTTCATAGGATGTCTGGACAGTGTTCTTTTTCTCCTCAATATTGGTTTGTTCAGGATGATTTTTGTAATTGGGACGTATTCCGACTCGTCAATTTTTGTAGGCTTGAATCTGTCTGTGCTTACCATTTCACGATGGCCTTTTATTAAAAAAAGCTAAGGGTTTGTCGTCTTTGGAGATGGCGCGAAAGGGGCCACTGTATAGTGGTGGTAATACTTAGTAAACTCTGACGTAGATGTATTTGCAAGTCATAACGTCTTTATGAACTTTTGACCGGGTAGTTTCTCCATCGTATTGGTCAAATTTTTAACGTAATCGGCAGATGGTATTCCAATGTTAGAAAGGGCAACGAAATCATAGGGCAATTGTAAATGACATCCGTAAAACATTTCTGCTAAACTGCAGTGAGTTTACGCTTTGATCGTGGTCTGCAAGCTCAACAGGACTAAAGACTAATTGTCTGTCCACTTGTCCGGGTTTCTCTGGCATCTCAGAAATGCTTTTAGCTGACGGTAGAAGCGTCCTACCAAAGCATTAGCTTACGAGTGGTAGACGTACGTGTGAAACTTTTACGTTCCTAATAATTTAGAGTTAGACGAAAAGATCGGATTCGAAATGCCTGCCTCCGTCGATTGTGATGGTTGTCGATGTGCCAAACCTTGAAACCCAGTGAATAACAAAGGTTCTCGCACCTGTCTTGCCTGTATGTCTGGCATTGGAATGGCTTCTGGTCATCATGTCAAGCGGTCTATAATTGTAAGGAGATAATGGTTTTCCTTAGGAGCTGAAAGGGACCCACAATGTACATGTGGATGTGGTCGAAGGTCTCAGAAACTGGCTTGAAACTGCCTTGTTGTGTCTGTGTACCTAGTTCTTTTGGCAAATTGGGCAAGCTTCAGAAGTTGTTTGACCTG